ATCCCTCGGTGCTCCTCACATGTAGTTGGGATGGTTCAACAGGAGGTGCTGGTGCTTGCAAAATACTAGCAAGTAGGTCAGCATTGAAACAGCCAAATTACTTAAAAAAAGGAGTACATTATTTTGTGCAGAAAGACTCTGGAAAAGTGATTTGATGAGGGACGTTATCCTGGTACTGACAGGAGGCAGTGGGAGAAGTGCAGGCAGTGAGGAACATAATTTGGCAGAGAAGTGCCTGTGAAAAGGCTGTCCCTCTGACTGCTGCTTTCAGGTATCACTGGGAGTGTGAGCAGGCAGGTAGCTTAATTAGCTGGTTGGTGGGAATCCAGTTCATTTTGTTTCTTTTTAATGCCTTTTATGATGGGGTGTTTGGGCACACCTGCAAAATTCAGCCTGTCGTCCTCGTCCTCGCATATAAATTGGGTATCTGAAGTTGGCTCCTTTCCTACTTGTGCTTTCTTGGAATCATCTAGCCAGTCCTCTGAGCTAAACATGCAGGAAGAGGGCACCAAAATAGAGCTATTTGGAGTTGAGGTCACTTCTATTTACTTGGCCAGGCTGGAGATCAGCCAAAAGCAAAAACAGAAAGGAAAAAACGCTGATTGCAACCAAACTCGCTTCCTGAGTGAGCTTTCCCCATTGATCTAAACAGAGAATAAATTTCTTCCTGTCCTAAGTACTTGCACGTCCCTACTATCAGCAGGAGAAGGCAGGTTGCATAGAGTAAGCTCAGAGACATTGAAAGCTGTTGAAAAGCCAAAGCCATGAGGCTGGAGCATCCCACAGAGTTTGCTTCTTGCCTGCAACACTGATCTTTGCGGATATGTGATGAGTGGATGCTGATGTCTCCTAGAGATCTACCTACATCCCAGTGGAGTGGGGCTGCTACCAGCCCTGTAGCTCCAGCAAGCCTTTGCTGTACTTTTGGACAGACTTGGGCAGTTTTGTGGTGCACAGCTGTGGGAATGCCTTCTGCAACACCCGGAGGACCCACAGCCTGGCGAGGCGAGGGCTGGCTGGGTCCAGGGCAGCCGCATGGCTCCGGTGCTTCCCTCTGGGCAGGAGGGTGCCCTGGAAAGGAAAGGGAAAAGGGAAGACACCAAGGAAATCACAGTATTCTGGGTGAGAGCCCCTCCTCTGCCTTCTCTAGTGGCTGAGGTATCGCCAGCTGCTTACAGCCTTTCACTCAGTATTTTCATTGAATTAATGGAATTTCATTAAACTTGCCTGAGCCCCCAGCCCTCTGCCAGCCTTCCCTGATAAGAGGCAATAGAAACATTTTAGGGGGAAAACACACAGATGCATGCAGAGTCAGCTTGCTCTGCAAGCTGTGTTTCCTCAGGAGAGTGGGATGAGTCCAAGCTCCTTCCTACCAAGCTCTCCGGAGTGTCCTGTGCTGGCTGCTCCTTCCACCTGTGGGGCCAAACAGCAGGTTGCTGCAGCCCAGAGCTGGAGCTGGGACAGTTCAGGTGACAGCCACGGTCCTCTGCCAGGGAACTGGCTTTGCATCTCTCCTCAGCAGGCTGTATGGGTCCCCAGGTAAGAGCTGTGAATGTGAGCAGGGTCTGGGAAGCAGCGTGGGGGAGAGTCAGGAATGATTGAAGGGCTGGGAGGGAGACTCGCAGGAAATGACAGAGTAAATCAGTTGAGCTTGCCTAAGTTATGACTAAATGGGGAGCGTGATACATCTGCAAATATTAGAAATGTGTAAACAGAGAAGAGGGAGAGTGATGGTTTATGGAATGATTGAAGGGAATGAACTTTTGGATGGGAAAATGTAGGTCAAGTATGAAGGAAGACTTGCAGGCAGTGAGATAAGTGCTTTCAGCGGTAGAACAACCTCCTCGGGAAACGCGAGGAAGTCCCATTGATGGAGATATTTAGCACAAAGCCAGATGAGGGCCTGGAAAATGGGCTGAGCTGGAGGGATGCACTTGGTGTGTCCTGTGTGGTGCTTCTACCTGCACCCTCTCCAGGTTTCTTGTAAGGTCCCCTTTAGGTATGGGAAGGCTTTAGGTATTGGGTCCTTCTGTTTTCTCCTCACTGCCCCACTCTCCCCTGGCTCCTGACACTGTCCCTGAGGAGGCTGGTGGGGAGGACATGCATTGTGGTGGGGGTTGTGGCGTCTCTGGCACATGGGCTGTGTTTGTCCTGCCTGTTTCCCCATCTCCCCTTCTCCTCCTCAGTCCTGGGGGACTCATCTTGGGCAGATGCAGAACTTGAAACTCCTGTTCCCGGTTGTATCCTGACCTTCTGACTGCCAAGTCGGCCCCTTCTCTGAAGCTGTTCCAATTTGTCTAAGTAATTAACATCCAACGGGCCACAGAGTAAAAGCAGGCCCACTGCTGAATTTCCCGCATCCCAGCTGAAAGCCCTGACCACAGGGCTATTGACTGCTCTAAAATGCTTGCTCCATGCATTGTGTCCTGGTCCCAATTAAACTTCTTGTGATGGAAGTTTCACCAAAACTAACATGCTTCCGTGTAAATTCTGGTTTTCATGATCTGGCATTTTCCAAGGAGAAAAAAAAAAGGAACTAAAATAACTTGCCAAGAATTTCCCAACCAGCTTTAATCCTGAGACACTACCATCGTCCAAACAAATGATGATAAGGATCTATGGAAAACATGGGGAAACAAAGAAGTGATGTTTTTAAAGCCTCCAGAAAATAAAAATGCAGCAGGAAGGAGGAGCATGGGGTTTTCTCCAAGCACGTTGAGGAGGAAAATTCATTCCCTTTGAATCACGGGGAGTCCTTTCTAGTTGGTTTCAAAGGAAGTTGGATGTGGTCATTAGCATAGCCTTGACTCTGTCACTAGTGCCTAGATATATTCATAGATGAGCTGGAAGCGCCACGGAGGGTGCTGCTCTTCCCAGCGGTGTCACGGGTTTCTTGCAGCCTGAGGAATGACAGCTCACCATGAGCAATGGGAGATCTCCCTCCCTGTTACAGCAAGCGAAGACAAACAATTTCCACCCGTGCCTGATGCTCAGGAGATAAGGGGGGATGCGGGAGATACAGCTTTAACCAAAGCCGTCTGGGCTGGGCCCTGCTGGCTGCAGTGGGCACCAACACACAGAGGGTGGAAGGGAAGAGCTAGTTGGTGCATCTTGGTCAGCTGCAGATGAAAACCACTTTCTCTGCCCTGCTTGAGTGGCTGTGGTGGTGGGCATGATAGCCTGGAGAGGCAGGGGTTGTGGCACAGCCTTGCAGCTGCAGGTGAACCCCCAGGTTGCTTTTGCTTCTAGAAGTGTTGCCAAGCACAGCTCCAAGCAGCAGAAAGGTGAGTGGAGCGTGTGGCAGCGTCTGTACTGCTGCTTGGTTCATTTGAGTGTCAAAATACACCTGTAAAATGAAGGAGTTCCCCCCCAAGGTCTGCTTGTTTCAGCCAAAAGAAATGTCACAGAGAAAAATTCCAGATTTCCATGAATTGGGACTCTGCCCCAGAACCGGGTAGATAGGTGGGGAATGTGGGGAAGGTGTTATTTGGTGGCAAAGAGGGATGAGCCTGAGGCTGTAGCAGCTATATATGCTGTATCCCAGCAGTGCCTGCCTGCTTCTGGCCAGCATCTTTTCCAGCAGGCAGAGACCTTTGGAAATTCCCAGTGAAGGTCAGCCCCTAGTCCTGTCTTGCTGTTCTATGTCCCTTGTTCAGAGCTGATGGGGACCAAAGTGCTTTAGAGGAGGAATAAATGGTCCCTACCCTGCCCCAGGGAACCAGCGGGGTGTCTTGTGCAATGCTTTGGCTACCCCAGTGTCCGGGGGCGTGACGTGTCCGGGGACGTGACATGTCCCTCTTGGTGACTTCTCCTAGGCTGTCTACAAGGCCTGGTTGTGCTCCGAGTATTTCAACGTGACCCAACAACAGTGCCGACACCGGATCCCATGCAAGCAATACTGCCTGGAGGTGCAGACCAGGTGCCCGTTTGTGTTACCGGACAATGATGAGCTGATCTATGGAGGTTTGCCTGGCTTCATCTGTACAGGTAAGGAGATCCGGGGAGGATGGCTGGGTTCTTGCGCATCCCAGGGGTCAGGGAAAGATGGGGCAGGGCTGGGTGCTGACAAGTCCCATTGTGCTTGCAAAGCTATGCACCAGATTCTGAAGGCTTTTTGGGGCAGAGTAGGAGGAGGTACAGTGTGGAGACACATGGAGCAGTGCCTGACTGCCAAAGTGTGGCTGTCTGGGGCTGAGGTGCAAGTTGTTAACGGAGACACAGCAGCTGCCCAACAACTTAGTGTGGGAAGTGAAAGCCCAACCTTTAATTGAAAGCTAAAGCAAGCATGTAAGGGGCTGAATGTGGTGGGATTAAAGCAGGACTGGGATATTTAACTGCTACAAGCAGCATCTGGAACATCCTGAACATGCCCCAGGGCTGTGGTCTCTGCTTGCTGGTCTGTGCAGGTTCACAGCCCCATCGAGGGCCAGTCAGGGAGTGTCTGGGTGTCCCGGTTGTCAGGTTCTGCCTGTCCCATAGTGCATGGCTGGTAGGCACTGGGGCTGGCTCCCTACAAAGCCCCGTCCAGATTGTCCCACTGACCATCTTCTCTTCCTCTGCTTCCTTCCCGCAGGGCTGCTGGAGAACCAGCTGCCTGACGAGGAGGCCAAGTGCTGCGAGGTGCAATGGGACTCCTGCGACCACCCCCCAGACAGCAATGACAACACATCCCCCAAATCCACAGCGTCAGAGTCACTCCATTTCCACCGCCACGACCCCCACCTCCATCACCAGCGGCAGAACCACTACCACCTCTACCACCACCACCACCAGTCCCACCAGGCCCACTCGGCTGTGGGAGGAGGAGCCGGACGTTCGTCCGCAGGGTCTCGCTTCAGCAGCAGCAGGATCAGACTGTGCGTGCTGGTCCTGATGCTTCTCCACACCATGGTGTCCTTCTCGAGCGTGCACAGTGGCGGCGGGGCAGCTGGTGGAGGGCTCAGCCTGGAGGCCCTGCCCGCCCTGGAGGAGAGCGTGGCACGGGACGAGTGACACGGAGGGGAAAGCCGACCTCCAAGAAGAACGCCAGATCTTTTTCCACGAAGGGGGGCACATGCTATTCCTCCAATGGGAGGCACGGGATTGGGGGTGACGCACACACACACACCCCTGCACATACCCCCAAGAGCTGCTCGCCGCGGGGCATCCCCGTGATGAAGAGTCTCTAATGCGCACAGGGCTGCGGGACTCGGCTTTGAGAAGGGTTCGGTCAGTAGCAGCCGGCGCAGGAAGGTATGGCACAGGGGTGGGGGAGCGGAGGGGAAGGGGTCCCTTCAGATGAGGTCTCCCTGTGGAACTGCCATGCATCTCCCAGCCACCTACCGCGAGTGCCTTGGGCACCCGCACCTTACCCGCCAGCGAGATGCCAAGGGTTTGACAGTCGGATCAGCCCCCGTTTCTTTTCCTCCTTGGTCTGTAAGTCCCACCATAAGGGTCAGGCAGGCAGGAGGCAGCACCTCGTGGCACAGCCTTGGCGGCTCCCACTCCTGTCCCAGGGCAAAGCACCAACTCGAGGCAGAACCATCCTTGTGGGGTGCAGCATCCTCAGCGTGGCTTTCTCCTCAGTGGTGAGATCTGGAGGACAGGAGTAGGATGCAGTTACATTACACTGTGGTACTGCTTGGGATTTGTCTCATTATGTCCCCAACCTGCTTCTCCAGCCTTGCCTCTCCCACTCCTCTGTGCAAGGAGGTGGAGAGAGAAGGAGGAGACGCAGAGCAGGAGGGACGTCCCTGGAATTCCTACGTCCCACTTTGCCAAGTGTCCTGATGATTTGGTTTCACCTTTTTTGCTTTCTTTCCTGACTGGAGTAGCTGGTCTCTGACAGGAGTTAGGGAGATTTGACTCCAGCAGTGCACAGGTTAAGTGAAGGAGTGGGATTGTGCATGGTAACAATTGGATGCAGGGCGTTGGAAGGCATCCTTCCATGCTTCCCAGCCACATATCATCAATGGATGGCAAAAGAGCTGGAGAAACTTGACATGTAGGGAGAGTCTCCCCCACGAAGAAGAGGCACTAATAAAGCCCAACTGGGGAAGAGAGGTTTTGTGAATACTTCGTATCCGTGGATGCCCCTCCCCAGACCAGAAGATTTCTAGGAGCCCAGCTGGACTTAGCTGGGCAGGGTGCTGGCTGGTGTAACCTTATTTGGCTCACTTGTTGTTTTTTCTTTTTTAACCTGAGCTCAGTGTATCCAGGGATTCAGCCCCAAACAGAAATCAGATCCTGCTTTCCTAGGAAATCCCTGAATTCTCCACTCACCCACCAGGAGCTGTTCCCAGTATGAATACTGCAAAGTGGTTGCATAGGGAATGGCACTGTGCCTCCAGGCTAGGCACCAGGGACAAGAAAGTTAATTCTGGAGGTGGGCAAGGGGAAGGAGGAGGGTATGTTTTAGCACAAAATGTCCTGGTTGCAATGTGGCTGTGAACCTGCTCATTGCTTACAGAGGACGTGATGGTTCCTCTGTTTCTAGGCTGCCTCTTGATGGGGAGCAGACCTGCAGCCCTGCTGGGAGGCAGGGATGGAGCAGGAGGAATGCCTTGCTGCATCTCAAACCAATCCCAGATCCCTGCAAGGGTCTAAGAAGTCAAAGAGTTGAGGGCTGTTTTGTGGTTCCTGGTCTGTTGAGGTGGAGCAAAACCAAGCAGAGCCCCATGAGCAAAGCTACTTCCTACCTGGCTGGAAGAAGGAAGTACCGGGCATATCATGGGAAGGACAGGTTTCCTGATGTTTCCAGCCCATTTCCAGACCAAAGAGGCTCTGAAAAGCAGCTAAATGTTTGATTTCTGCTTTGACTTGAATCTCAGAGCTTTAGGGTGATGTTTACATGTTATCAGTTGCCTGTTACCAAAGTCCCACAGATACAAAGCCCGTGAACCTGCTGTCCCTTGATTATCAGGCTGTGACAGGCTGTTCTGTGTTCATGGAAGATGCAGAGAGTGTTTCCTAAGCTCCTTGCTGTTGCTGCCCAGTAAAGACAGAACGATTCTCTAGTGCTTGACTATTCCTCACAGCATCCATATATTTTCTGTCTAGTTTACACCAGTCTGAAAATTTGGACATGCAGCAGTTCAGCAAATAGGGATCTGACTCCTCCTTTTGCTCTGCTGGTAAGAAATGAGTTGTTTAGCTGCTTTGATGACTAGCAAAAGCATACAGCCAGACCAAGGGAGGGAGCACAGTCCTGTTCCTGCCTCAAGACAGACGGATCCAGTTCGCTCTTAAGGAAATTAGATTTTTCATGTACTGCCAAGAGTTAAGCTAATTCCAGGCGCCTCTCTCAGAGATAGGCTGCATCCAATCTTTGAGCGACTCATCTAGAGAGAGAAGAATAGCCCAGTGTGGTGCGTCAGCAAGTGGCCCTGAGTCACTGGCCCTATTCATTGTCTGCTGGGGTAACACTGAGCAGTGCCCAGCCTGCATGCAGGCGGGCAGCCTGGTGTTCCACGGGCTCGCTCTGCTGCACTGTGTGTGTGAGCCCAGGGCTAAGACTTTTCTTGAGGGGTCTGTGCTCTCCTACTTGTCCCAAGGCTCTTCTGCACGCTGGTGTGCCGAGCTACAGACCAGGGTGTTGGTGTCAGTTCAGGCTTGGGAGGCTTCTGGTAGCACTGAGGGTTTGTGATGGGTGATGTCCAGAGAGTGGTGGGAGTGAGGTCAAATAGCCCAGGTTATCTCCAGGAACTAGGGGAGGCTGGCAGGGTTTTGCTGGAATAATCGTACAGAAGGGAGCTGTTATAATCATACAGAATCACAGAATGGTTTGGGTTGGAAGGGACCTTCAAGATCATCTTGTTCTAAGGAAAGGACACCTTCCGCTAAATCCATTAGATAAATGTCATCACCTTCTGTAACATAGCTGGTGAGCTTCACCTCAGGAGGCAGGGAGCTGGTGCTACATCCCACTGAATCTGAAAGCTGAGCCATTTCCAAACTGGGGCCTGTAGTGTGACTGCTGAGGAGGTGTAGTTGTGTCAGCCGCATCAGCGAGGCTCCGCAGGGCAGCTCTGCCGTAGCCAGGGGCAATCCACACGTTTCCCAAGCTGCAGCTTCACGGGAGGCGTTCACGTGAGGCCAACGTGCCAGGTCCACGGGCAGGGGGAGCGCGCGGGGTGCGGAGCCGCGCTGGCAGGCACAGGGCTGGGCTTTTACCTAGTGTGACTGGGAGGAAAGTGCTGAGTCTTCACAGACCGAGGCTTTTGGAAGGAGTTCTTTTATTTAGCGAGTCTGGGCTGCTGTCAATAAGTTTTGTGGTTTTAGGGCACCATATGCTGTATTCAACACTTTGCCAATCTCGTTAAATGAATCCAGACTCGGCTGTTCACAGAACAGGACAGAGCAGCTGGAAGCGGTGTATGTCGCAGTCCATCATTATAAGGCTGTCGGATAAAAATCTTCTCTTTGGTCTGACATTACAACCTTAATAATCCTCCATCCATATTAGCTTTCTCTTTGCTATACAAGAGAAAAGTCCAGAAAGGACACGTTAACATCGTCTCAGTTAACACTACTGACATTGTTTTTAGTACAACAAGGAGCGAATGTGCCTCGGATAAGGCAAGAGGGATTCTCTGCCTGTGCGTGTAGGCATGCTTCAACTTGAGCTCCCCCTTTGCCCAGGAGCCTTTTGCAGAGCCACACTTCTGCAGCCACCTTGGAAAACACCAAATCTAAATGGATTTATCTTACTTGGAATTTAAAACCAAGGTGCTTTTTCCTTTTCATTCAATGATCTTATTTCTTCTCCCTAGGGAAGGCAGCATGCATTGGGATTAATGTGTAAAATTCAGCCTCTCCTTCAGTGGATAAACTGTCTGCTTGGAGCAGAAGCCCATTGGAAAGCAGTGATTCCTCCCTGCCATCCCTGGCAAGAGGCTTTCTCAGTCCTGAGGGGCAGTGCTATCCCCACAGGGTCTGGGTGCAGGGACAGTGCAGGCAGGCGTGCAGGAGGAAAGGTAGTTGGGTCCTGCCTGGCTGGAGCGTTAGTCCTGGGTTTTGCACTTTAATGTCACTGCCAGTTGTACAAATTAATTAAAAATAACTGAAGAAAAATTGCAAAGAAAGGCCCTGCTTCCTCTGGTGAAGATTAATCATTACTTGAGCCTTTTTCTTATGAAAATACAGATCCATGGTAGCCCCAGGCAAAAGATTCCCAGGGAGAGCCCTCACCATTCGTGCTCTGAGTTAGGGAAATCGCTTTGAAAGCATCTGACAACTAAAGCAGAACATGTTGAGTAACTTGGCAACACTCGGAAAACATCTTGAAATGGTTTTTGTTCAACACATTTTGCTTTGCTTCAATAGGAGATGTCAGGGCAGTTCATTCACTGCCACTCAGGACTGCAGGCAATGCTGGGAGATGGTTTAAAAAAAAGCCAAAAGAAAATCCCTGATATCTGCTGCTTCTGGAACAGGATCCTCCTCAGTGGTACCATGGAGCTTCCCATTCCTGAGTGAGCTCTGCAGATCCCATCCGGCCGGCATGGTCTCCCTGTGCCACGTTCACAGGGAGGTGAGTGATTTGCAGTGCAGAGCGGGGCCTGTTGAAGGCTCTGCCTGCAAAAAGTCATGCAGCAGCTTGTGATGAATTATAATAGGATACCTCCCTGCCATCCCAGAAAGGAATGCCTATAGAAATGGGTAGAGGCAAAATCAGGACAGAAATATGCATGGATTCTGCAAAAATCCCTATTAAAATCTATGCAATGTGGCAGACAATTTTGTTCATAGACTTTCCAAGCTGCCCTATGGCTTCCTATCCGCAGGGGAATAAATCCCTTAAATTACACTTGAAAGGTTAGGAAGGGCAGTGTCTAATGTTTAGGCAGGACTTTAGTAACCGTCTGCTGTAGCCCCTCAAACCAAGTCAGATATTGAGCATCCCAGTGGGGTGACAGAGGTACCTGCATTACAAACCCTGCAATCATCCCTTCTGCCCCAAAGAAGCCTGTTCACAGCTCCTGGATCATGGCAGCTCAAGCTGATGGTACACA